AACATCTCTGCACAGGGAGGACGACTCACTGGCCCACGCCGCAAAAGAGAAAGCCGACCTTTTAGGCTCTCTTTTTGCGTCCAACTCGACTCTTGATAACGGGGAGAACACACCGCCCGTCCATCCCGCGGTGTGAGTGATCCATGCCAGATGTGCGGTTCTCGCAGCGATCGGTCCGCAAAGCACTCCTTTCCCTGGACATCCACAAGTCGAGTGGGCCTGACGGAATCCCCCAATTGTGCTGAAGATGTGTGCTCCGGAAATGGCACCGGTTCTAACGCGTCTTTTCCGGTACTCCTTCTCCCTAGGCGTAGTCCCGAATCATGGAAGACAGCTTTTGTCCACCCGATCCCTAAAAAAGGCGACCGCTCAGACCCGTCCAACTACAGGCCTATCGTCATCACCTCCTTGTTCTCGAAAATAATGGAGTCCATTATTAACTGCCAGCTCATGCGGTACCTTGAGGAGCACCAGCTGATTAGTGACTGCCAGTACGGTTTCCGTCGGGGTCGCTCAGCTGGTGATCTTCTTGTTTACCTAACACATAGATGGGCGCAGGCGATCGAGTCCAAGGGGGAGGCATTGGCCGTTAGTTTGGACATAGCAAAGGCCTTCGACCGGGTCTTGCACAAAGTGCTTCTTTCGAAGCTTCCTTCCTATGAGCTTCCTTCGATTACCGGAACAAACTTGTGTCTGAAGTCGAGTCTTTGGTGAACAAAGTCTCGGATTGGGGGCGACTAAATCTAGTCCAGTTTAATCCTCAGAAGACACAAGTTTGCGCGTTTACTGCTAAAAAAACCCTTTTGTCGTATCTCCTCAGTTTCAAGGCACTCCCCTTGTTGCCTCAGCCAGTATCGGAATCCTTGGCGTCAACATATCGAGTGACGTGCAGTTTCGTGGTCACTTGGAAGAGAAGGCCAAATTGGCCTCTTAAAAACTTGGCGTCCTCAGCAGGGCGGGACAGTATTTCATGCTGGTACAACGCCTGCAACTTTACAAGGCGCAGGTTCGGCCTCACATGGAATACTGGTCCCATCTTTGGGCAGGAGCTCCCCAGTGCCAGCTCCTTCCACTTGACTGCATCCAGCGCAGAGCGGCTCGAATCGTCGACGACCGAGTCCTTTCCGATCGGCTCGATTCATTGGCGCTGCGAAGAGATGTTGCACCTCTTTGCATTTTCTTTCGCATTTACCACGGGGAGTGCTCTGAGGAATTGTTCGGATTAATCCCAGCCGCCAAATTTCACGAACACACATCGCGGCAGAACTCCCGATACCATCCACACCATCTGGATGATTGGCGGTCCACCACTGTGTGATTTAGAAGATGTTTTCTTCCTCGCACAACTTCCTTGTGGGAAAGTTTACCACCAGCGATTTTTCCGGACCGATACGACTTAGGGACCTTCAATAAAAGAGCCTATTCCTTTTTAAAAGGCCGGCAACGCATTTGCAATTCGCCTGGTTCCCCCGGTGTTGCGGTTGTTCATGGGCGACGGTAGTCCTTTACCATCAGGTGAGCCGCATGCTCGCTTGCCCCCTCTCCTATAAAAAAATAATTATTATTGAACTAAAAATATAAAGCTACGTAGAACTCAGTGTTGGTAAAATAATCATACGAAGGTGCTGAAATTTGTTTTGCATTCAGACATAAAGAAATTTTAATCGCCAAAATATTATTTTTATAGTTTATAATAATTTTGTGAACAGGCCGCCATCTATCGTCAAGGTAGCTAAACTACATTGCAACATCGATATTGAACGATTCGAGTAGTTTTACTACTTATCGGTAGATGTAGATAGTGTAAAATAGGCGGGGCTTAACATCCCCTCTTTGTATTTGCTTCATGGTAGGGCCGATTCGTCACATCCAGTGTTACCAACTCGATTTTTTCCAAATCCGTAGATTGATCTAAAAATTTCTGTAGAATTCCGTAGATGCTCTCGTTGTAAGTTCAATTGTACTATAACATCGAATCAATTTGCACATATAAGAAAAAACTACCATAAAAAGTGATTAAAAATTAATTGATATTTTAAATTAAATTATTTTTACTAAAAGACAAATAAAATAATAATAAACAATTAAATATTTGTGAATAGTGATACTAAAAAAATTACTACGATTGTTAAAATTTTCGATTGTTAGTTATCGGCTAGGTTTACACTCATTATAAAAAAATATTTTTAAAAATCTAAGTATTCTGAAAGGACCGTGAAGTACAAATAAAATTAATTAACATGGAAATCAAATTCCATAGATTTGAACTAAAATTCCGTACAATTGATTGATAAATCCGTAGAGTTGGTAACGCTGGTCACATCTTCGGACCCTCAATTAGCTAAGTAACGACTGACGTTTTAATTGCGCATTAATTTATGTTTATACTTTATATATATATATATATATATATATATATATATTATATACTTATTCTTTTATATTGAGCTGAGCCTAGCCCTAGCCGTGTGGTCCTTTATTGTTCTCCGACTATTTGTGTGATCAATCAACTATGGCTGCTTTTACTAATAAAGAATATGCTGATATCGGCTTCATGTATTTCAGAGCAGACGATAATGGATGTCTGGCACGGCGAATGTACCAGAGCGATATACTAATCGAAGATTACCAAATGTCAAAGTGTTTTACAGCACATTTCGTCGACTTTCTGAAGTTGTAATCCATCACGTGAAAGCTGGGGTCAATCCGGGTAGACATGGCTCAAGTGTCGAGGAAGACATTATTGCAGCTTTTTATGCAGTTCCTACTACAAGCGTCAGAGCAGTCAAAACCTCAACGTTTCTGTATGGAAGTATCCATTTCACGGCACAGGTGTACAAGGTTTGGACAATGAAGATGCTCCACATAGGATTCAGTTCTGTCGCTTTTTGATAAATAGTGACATTGGAGATAAATGATTTTTAAAATTCATCTTGTGGACTGATGAAGTTTTCGAAAGAGGGAGTTACCAACTTTCATAACCTCCATCGATGAGGTGCCAAGGGCAGCAATCCACATTGGAAGCAACAAGTGTCCTTTCAAAGGAAATTTTCAGTAAACGTGTGGGCAGGTGTAATTGGCCGAACGTTGATTAGTCCCCACTTCCTACCAGATAATTTAAATGGAACAATTATCTGGAATTCCTCATAAACTATCTCCCAGAACTTCTGGACGAGGCCAAAATACCAATATTGGCAACCAGAAGACCAATGATCTTTCAGTAAAATGGTTGTCCAGCACGTTGGACTCTAAACGTGCCAGAACATTTAAATAATTGTTTCCCAGAGAACTGACCGGTTGGACCGGCCAAGAAGCTCGTCTACACGCATGTGGAAATATCAACCAGAGGGGAGTTAATAGGAAGAATCCATACGGCTTTGCAAGCTGTGAAGCAGAAGATGAAAATTAAAATTACGACTACAGAAGAGAGAAGACTTGTGTCTAAAATCGCGGTCAACATTTTGAACACGAAAAATAAATTATATATATGTTATACCTCCAATATTATTACAATGCAATATAAATTTGTGAGAGCAAATAAAGTAAACATTATTATTATTATTATTTTATCATAAATGTTGTTTTATTGGTCTGTTAAAAATTATTAATATTCGTCCGCAATTTGCTTTGTACACCCTAATTCGAAGAGTTGATGAGACATCTGCGTAAATAATACCTCAAAAGAAAGGGCAATAACTAAGCATGTTTTTAAAAAGGTTTGAACAACAAAGGCTATTTTATTTCTTATTTTATGGTGGCGTAAACACATTTTCTTAATTTTTTTTTGGTTTTTTAAACTTAAATATGAGTACAATGTTTTTCTGACGATGAAGATGCTTGGAAATTATTTTGTTTGAGTAATCATACATTACGTAAACAAAAAATAATAACATAACGGTTACTGGACACTATTAGCAATTAATTGAAAAAAAAAAAGGGTTTTATTGTTAAAGACCTTAGAAATTCAGTTTTAAATAAAGGAGCAGACTTCGTCTAAGACAAGTTTAGCTTAATATATTCTAAATGGTTTAAGGTATCATCCCCCTTCAGGCTTCGCACCCATCTTCCAAGAAATATCTATTATCATCGTCGAGAATTTAATAAAAATAAGTTAATTAAAACGCGATATAATCCATAAAAGTAGTTTTATTCAATCTGTAGTGCTCGCGTAAATATAAGAAATCATTATGTCAACCTGTATATCTCAGGTTTTGTATCAGCTTAAAAGCCTTGAGATATTATCATCATCAACGGTCCGCTGGGTTAAATTGGTTTTATAATCTCCCAAGAGTTTCGCAATGGGACGCATCAGCTTATTCTGAAGACATTTGTAAACAAATTACGCATCAGACAAAGTTGTATGACCAAAGACCTTTGCTTGCCTTAATTAGCGAAGCGTAACCACACAGTAATCACAGGGTTCCCAACTTAGGGGTTTTTCCCCAAATTTAAGCGGTAAATAATTGAAATTGATTTTTTTACGGACTTTTATATTTGTTTTCATATTATCTGATGTACCACGCCACAGTAACCTGTAAACATTAGCCCAAATTAAAAATCTTTAAATTCGGGCTATATGTTTTGCATTCATTGTCAAGGTCGCAGTTTCTTATAATATCTATTGAAATGCTACAGAGTGATGATGGTCTAATCACTGCAACGAAACGGCGCATAATTTATTAAATTCAATGATTCAATCTATTAACTAAAACGTGGTTATTTTATATCCAAATGTATGATTTTAGGGGTAATTATTTTCTGGAGTTGGCAACTCTGATAATCAACGTCATTTACATACAGTCAACGTGTATTGGAATTGGAGCTGTCAGAACAGAATCAGAAGTGTCTTTTACAAGCCAAAAAACTAAGAAAAGTTAAAACAGATTTATAGATTAATGTACATCAAAATGTATATTTAGGATATTTTTAACATAAACTACTTACAGAATTTATATTTATTGTATCTAATTAAGGTCTATGTTTTTAAATAAATAGCAAACATGGTTTTATTATCGAACGACGAGGTAAATGAATCTGTATTTTTAATTAAGTAGTTTTTTTTTCATTTATGTATGAAATTTATTTTGGATTTCTTTTTCAGTTTCTCGTAGAGCTTACAAAGTTGTTTCAAAAAGCTCGTTCATCGGGATCGGTTACAATGACCATGAAAAGATGTAAGTACTTTCTTGTTAAAGGTATTTTAGTCCCAAAAGAAAATTTATTCTCGAAAAAACTTTATACTTTAACCTAACCTTAGGATACTTACAAATACCTTAAAATTTTTCTTGTGGTGCTGCACCAGCCTCTGCTGAGTCTCGCTTGTTTTCACTCGGCTAACACATTATGGTGGATGGTCCATTACAGCATATAACAATCCACTGCTGAACATGGGTCTCTCCATAGATCAAGAAGATGCTGTTGCCCATGCATTAGTTTATTTCTGTTGCCTCTTACAACACCCATAACACAATATGGGGTAGTGGATATTCTTACATTGTGGTCACCAGTAACCTAAGATCTCCTAGCTCCGCTCTTTTTCTTGCATTCTAAATGGCTTCCCACTATTTTTGTTTTTGTTTAATATATGGTGACAGAAAGAATAAGTTTATTTGATATGTAAAAAAATGTAACATAGTTTCTTAAAACATTTATAGATTATTTGTAGTTTGTAAAAGTTCACATTTTAATGCCACAAGTTCGTTCCATTTTTAAAAACTTCACAAAGTAAAAATATATTTTAAAAATTATAATCTCAAAAACTATTTGTTTCTTATTACTTGTTATGTATTAGAATTAGATATCTAAACATTAAGATCAGCCTGACATAAAAGGTTGGACTTTAAATTGACTGTAGGTTTTGTACAGCTGAGCTGTAACACACTTGAAAGAAAAATATTTGAAGCATATTTAAATATTATTACCATTAGGACATTCAACATTTTCTCACAAAACCTTTGATCTTAAGCATTAGTAATGCTATCTAGCTTAAAATAGCAAAAACATGTATTAAAATAATTAAAACACATTTCAGCTATGATATGACGATAGTTTGTGCTAATTGGTGTAAACAAAACAATTTCTTGTATACCATGTTTTAAAAACAAAACATAAAAACTCAACTGTAAAGGAAAAAAAGGTAAAAACAAGCTCCAGAATATAAATTTTTCTGCATGTGCACAAACAAAATCAAATGATAGAGAACAGTAGATGCTCTGAGTTGTATGATGTTGAAGAGAAGCTTCTAATATGCTTCAAACAAAATTTTCACAGCTCTAGTTCCTATATTGATATTTAAATTCCATATTGATAGTTTGCATTCCTATCTCTACCTCATAAGAACATTATCAAAACACAAGTTAATAAACATTTCTAATTTGTAGCAACATGGTGATAAAGGTATTGAAAACCAGAGGGAGTTTATTAAAATATTAGCACATGTTCTAGAATCTACAAAAATTATTATTTTATTCTGATTATTACTGTTACTCTTACAGCCTATCCAAAGTCCACTGTTGGAAACAAGCCTTCCCCTACACTGCCTCATAGAGGCTTTATTTACCATAGTTGCCACGCTTTGAGGGTGGGTTGGCCAATCGAAGATATTTATTTTTCTAGTTGTCATTCGGAAGACGCTGATGCCCACCTCAGAATATGTTTTGCTCTGTCGCCTCTTGACCCCCATGAGACGATATGGCATAGTGGATATTCTTACACTGCCACTACACAATTATTTTAATTATGGGATAAATATAAAAATAGGTTCTTACGAAAGTTAATGAAAGCCAAGACTAGTTGTTTTACCATAACAAAGTTTGTAAATATTTCAAAACAATTCAGAAAAGCAATGTTTAATGCAATTATTATTTGTTGCAGATGATGGTCGTACAAAGCCGCATCCTAGGGATGGTACTCCAGCTGTTCCAAATCCACATTATAAATGCTTAATAAGGGCACAATCAAGAACCACAAAAATATCAACAGTTATAGAGCAGAATGATGTAGAAAAATTTAGCACAGCTTATTCAAATCTTTTGAAGACAAGTGTAAATGGTCTTAAACGGTTAAAGAAACCTAAAAAGAAAGCAATGGCAACTCAGTAACATTTGTTGAGAATAAGCAGTGTGAGAACAAACTGATGTTATATTATTTGTGGCAATATAGTGAAGGAAATGTGAACTTTAAATGGTGTCTCTGTGATTTTGCTAGCTAATTGGGCTAAATCCATTGAACTGTGCTCTTCTTTCGTGTGAAATGTGAAGAGTTGGATTGTGTCTATTAGTGCTGGTAACATTGGCACAGTTTATCTTTTATTGTCTGTCAAAATATAATATCTGACAATATGACATTGTTTATCATTTGTAACTTTGCAAATAAAGTATTGCATACTTTACAATGAAAATTATTTTTGCAAGAATTAGTGCAACTATTTCCTGAACATAATCCTTACTGCAATACATATGGAAACAAGAATAGTAATACAGTTATTATGTATTAAGAATTTTACTTATATATATACAGGCAATACTTGACTATTATGCTATATTATAAAAAATGAATATAGAATTACATCTTGCTTATTGACATAAATAAATTTTGCATTACAAGGAGTCAGTCGACAACTGAAGCTATTGTTATACAAATTCAGCATTTCTGTTCTCTGAAGATGCTTTGGATATTTTTGTGACTTTTCCAAGGTTTGTTTTTGTATTTTTAATTCTTAATAAGTTTAAACACAGCGTTTAAACTTTTTAAGCGAATACATACATTACAATATTGTATGTATTGGCTCTCTAGCCACTAACCACAAGCTGCGAGGCATTATTCTTAGATTGAAGTTGGTTACAGGTGTCCATAGACTGTAATCACCACTTAACATCAGGTGGAACACGAGTTAGTTTATAACTTTTCAATTTTATATAAAAATTTTCATTCTACATAGATTGAACCAAAAGTAATTAATTAAAAGTTACCTTCAGGCAGTGTTAACTATGACATCCGGATGTTGAACTCCTCAGTGACTGGATGCTGCAAAGCTCTAAGAGTGGTGAATTTTTTTTTTTTATAGGATGGGGTGACAAATGAGCACACAGTCCACCTGATGGTAAGTGGTTGCTGTGACCCATAGACATCTACCTTTATCCTTAATAAAGGATCAAAGTGCAGATGCGTCGCCACCCGTGAGGACTAAGATGTAATGCCTCTCGTCCAGTTAAAGGGGTCTCCGGTTCTTTACACTCACCATACGAAACACAGCAGCATTAGGCTGCTATTTTACGCTGGTATTCTGTGAGAGCATGGTCCTTCCCCGGTTGAGCCGACCCATTTGTGCCACAACTATACTACCAATATAGCTGCAGCATGGCTCTACCACGTATAAAATATATAATATATAAATTATGTAAGTGAATTAAACACAATATAAGTCGTAAAAGATAATTATTCGATGATTACCACTAGCGTTAATTTATTAACATCTATCAAAGGTCCTGAATAAAGATCTCCCCTAGAGATTGGCTCATAGGGGGATTTTTGCCACAGTTGCTACACTTAGAAAGCGGGTTATCATTTTGAGTTGATATCAAGAAGATACTGCTGCCCATCTCATGTTGCATCTCTCTCTGTCACCTAATTATTCAGATTATCTTGCCGTGATGACGCCACTATACGGCTAAACAGCATTCGTAAACATAACGAAATCATTATGTTTAGGGGCAATTGTAAGAAATGCTTATGTGTAATTCTATAATATGCGGTTTTGAAACAAAAGGACCTCTCAGTTTTACTTTTAAACATACTTCAAACTTATTTTATGTTGCTTGTCTTACAGATTATATTTTCAATATTCTGTTTTAAGTTTTAAATGAATTTCCACTTGATATAAGTTATCATTGTTAAAAATAAAACATTCTGTATGTTTGGTAACAACTACTTTAATTGACAAAATTTTTCCTTTTTAAATGTTACACTTTCAACCTTTTAAAATTTTAAATTATAATAATAAGTAAAACAAGCAATACTTTTGATATCAAAATTAAAATTATCTAATAGCTTTGAAAAATAATATAATATTTTTCGCAATATGAGACCAATATAAACACAGGTTTGGACAAACAATTATAAAAAAAAAAAATATTATTTACATTTCAATATTTATTAACATGTTTGCTTAAATTAGGATATATGATTTAAAGATTTTAGGGATATTTTATATTTTTAATATTCATATTTTTGTTTGGTTTCGTTGCCAAAAAGATCCTTTTCGTATATAACAATTTAGTTATTTGCCTCTAGATAATACTGAATACCAACTCTTAAAATGCCAATTATATTAAAATAATTAATAATATGCAACACTTAAACTTTATATCACAAAAACATCTTTGTAAAAAGACAATTTCATTTTACATTATCAACACGTAATTTTAGTATACAGGTGGAGCATTGAGATGAGTCAGTATGAAAAATGTAAACTTTTTTTTAAATATTACCAACACAAGATATTAATTTTTCTTTATCATGGAGGCAGTTTGAATACACAAATTGAAAGTTGTAAGTTATACAAATACTTGTTCCGTGCGGGATTTGAACCCACGGCCCTCAGCGCCGCAACTAAGCCACAACACCACAGAGCTGTTATACTCAACTATTCCTTTGAATAGAGAAACTTCTTTAAAGGAATTTTGACATTGTGAAGTTGTGAGTTTAAACACAATATTTTTTCTCATTATGGGGTTTTTATGTGATCTCGAGATTGTAATATAGCTATAGTTTAAACATAGTTTAAACTATAGCTCTCTCTCTCTCTCTCTCTATATAAGGACTGAGTATTACTATAAAATATTAAATGCAAATTTTGATTTTTCTAAAATATATGACATCTGAGCAAATTTCTCATTTATAAATTTACATTTGCTTAATACTGACCCATCTCAATACTATGCTACCATTTATAGGTTAATATTTGATTGTAGTATAATTCAATAGTACACCACTATATTCTTAAATTAAACATTTAATATATATATATTTTCGACTAGGGTTTATTTTCCAATAAAGTCATAAAACATGCTTATATTTAATGTCCAAATGATGCTTGCATGACAATAGTGAATTGTGAAGCCCTTGTCATTTCGAACTCATAGATATAAAAGTTGTTAATTTAAATTAATAGATTAAGATCCACGTGAAAAAGAAAATGATGAAACAGGGTATTACGGGGAAAATTAAAACTCGTGTCGTATTATCGACGGTGGTGCCTTAGCTAGTAATGGCGGTGGGTTTAGTGATGGCAGTGATAGTGCACTCAACTGAGGGAGAAGGGAAGGTGTTCTACAATATAGGTAAGACACATCATTTAGTTATTAGCGCAGATCTTAGATAATGGATTTAAATATTTTTAATATAGGTAATGGATTTTCATAAAGTAAGGGTTTGATTTTATATACAAGCTGGTCCAAACAGTGACGTCCAAAAGAAAAATTTAAATTCCTCACAACCAAATCCGAAATAATATAATAATATATATTTTTTTGTATTTTTTTAGTGTTTTCTCCCGATGAAGAAGATAATAACCCGTTAAGTACCAATTTTCTTTTATGTATCAGATAACTTTGAAATCTGTAGTTTTTAAAGGCAGCTAAAACCTATAGAAACTAGTTTTTGTATTTTTAAATTGAAGTTGTAAATTTGAGTCTACCCCACTAAAAGCTGAATTTCTTAATTTCGATACTTTTCTGGGTAATTTGCAGAAATGTTAGGAAGTTAATTATTTCGTAAAAGTATCCTTCAAGACAATCATGTCAAAAAGTATCTAAAAAAATAACCACTACGAAAAAAGATATGAATTTTTGAAGCCCCACCGAGAGAAAAAAAAACTAAAAAAATGCAAAGAAAATTATAACTGGAAAACTACAAAAAATGGGATAACATATATGGGGTATTTTCGGATACCACTGGGTGTGAGGAATTTAATTTTTCTATTGGACGTCTCTGTTTGGACCACCTGTACTATCATTTAAACGACAGATCAGGCAGAAAGTTTTTCTAAAAAAAATATTCAATGAGATACTGGCCAAGTTTCAGGTTAAAGGCTTAAAGTTATACTTTTTTAATTCCTAAAATAACAAATCTGCTGAAAGGAATTTTTAGTTTCGCAAACCTTTCAGAGTAACCACGTATTTAAAATTCAAATTAACTTTGTTATCAATGTACAACGATTAAATAATTATGTACACATATTTACATTTTTCCACATACATAAACCCAAGTGCTGTCACATCTAGGAAGTTCAAAAATATTGTTTTTATTCCATGGTTCCTGTATTGAGTTCAGTAAAGAATGTGACAAAACTAGTGACAGCCTGAGTATGTAGGTACATGATTTCATATTTTACACTTGGACTTGTACAAATTAATGTCAAGTGCAGCCACAAGTGTTACAATATAGAGTAAAAAATAGTGACCAAAGTAGATACTTGACTGAGGGTGTAGGTACAGCAATTTCATATTTTACACTGGAAGCACTTCAAATTAATAATAAAAATAAAATCTTTTCGAGATTACTTAAATTGAAGTATTGCACCTCTATTTTAAGCTTGTGTAGTATTTATACCACAAATAGACTATAACATGTATTATACATAGATATTATATTTTATGGTAACACTATTTTTTATAATAATAATATCAGACTTTAGGTTCCATCATAGGCCACGTATTCGCATTTTTAGCAGGTATATTTACAAAAAAATGTCTTATGTGTCCCATTCCCGTTTTTATTGCAAAAACCTTTTCTTTGCAATATTCAGATTCGTTAATTTATGACTATAGCTTTATGACAAGAGCTGTGCCGACCGACACGCCATTACGAGTAGCACCGATTTGTTTGGTTTGACAATCCATTACCGTATTTTGCGGCGGTATGTTTTTCGCACAGTTTAGTCATCATTTATAATATTGCTGAATGAATATATTGTAAAAATATCACATACATAAATACTTAGTAATTATTTTATAATAAAATATCCACTATATTTGTTAATATTTTCGGTAAGGTAGTTGTTAAGTAACATTATGATGTTATACATGTAAACGAATATTGT